TTGTCTAGGCCAAACTCCATTTGTATGTCCTTAGTGTATGAGTGTGTGATTTGTAGGAGTTGATGAAGTTGTTTTTGTGTGGATGCATAAAGTTTTATGTCGTCCATGTACATGAGAGTTACACATCAGTAAAGTTAAAAATAAATTTTTAAAGGCGATTACAGATTTCTTAATATAAATAATTCTACGTCAAATGTAAAAAACTAATTTAAAATAGTTTAAAACATCAATGATGTTAATTTAATATTTTAATCCAAAAATTATGATGAAAAAAAGAAACACCTGATTTTTTTCATCCTTTGCTGTCTTGTGCTCTAGAACATTAGCCGTATTTGTTCCCAAAGTTAATAATAATGCCGATCTAATGTCATTTACAGCTATCTTTTGCCAGATTTGACTATGGTTATGATATACAGAAAAACGGACATCTGTGATAATTAAGAATTATATATTAGTTAGAATTTAATAGTAACTTTAATAATAAAATAATTCTAAATAAAGAAATCATATTCATATCTTTTGAAAAATAATGATTTAAAAATTTATTCAATGTTTTTAAATTAGAATATTTCTTTGTCATTGCTATGTTATTAGAGAGGTTGAGGCAGATGTTTTAAACGTGTAAACGTGTAGGACGGACGTTCGGTGCCGCTTTCCCGTAAGCCTAGAAGTTTGACGATGGGGTTTGGAATGTCGAGCGTGATTCCACCGACTATCCAAACACCATTGTCAAACTTTTAGGCTTACGGGAAAGCGGCGCCGAATGTCCGACCTACACGTTTAAAACGTCTGCCTCAACCTCTCTATTATGGTATGTATAATATAACAAAATACCATGATTGCTTATTCTGAAACCGTGTCTTCTTTTATTCGTTTTTTTCTGTCACAACTAGGTGCATAGACAGACACTGGACATTTTTGACATCAATCTTTATTCGGGAATATCTTGTGGGCCAAGACAAGTTTGGGCATATGCCCCTCTTCTGTCAGCAACATAATAAAACATGAACATATTTTTCATATCACAAAATGTTTTATATTATGATAGGTTACAACGTACCATTTCTTTTTGAGATATCTTGTAAGGAGGTGTTAACTAATATGCATCTTGCTTAAAAATGATTTATATTTACAGTTAAAATTTCATGGCTTTACCGGTAAACTGACTGCACTTAGCTCACACTTGTGATGTCCATGTTTACAAGGGTCTTCTTAATCTCGTTGACATGTTAAAAATTTTTTAAAAAACATTTATACAATAATCTCTCTTTTTATTATTATTATTGTTGCATTTTGTGAGTTATACTTGGTTGACACTGGTGGCTGTGTACTATGCTGGACCAGAGTCAAGACATAGTAACCAAAACAAAATAAAAATTAAAAAACTGTGTCAGTGTATGTGTTTGTATCCAAGAATTTCCTAACAATGTGACATTTCAATTGTAATGTTCCCAGACTTTTGTGTAGTGTTTATTATTATTATTATTATAATAATTTTAACCAATTTTTGTGAATCTTTATACTTAAATTTTTATTGATATTATTTTTTTGGCTTTTTATAATCTCAAAACTTTCTTTAAATTTTCTGTTGTACCAATTTTTTTCTGTGTTTGTTTTTGTTAATATTGCAATTATTTATTGTGCAATGTTCATAAAAGACCGCATTTACTCTTCTATATTTCAAACCAGCAATATGTTCTTTTAGTCTTATTCCTACTTTCCTTTTCATTTCTCCTATCTAATTTTTTAGGTTTTCACAGGTTCATGGTATAGAATAGATTACAGACCCACAAGATATTCCTGAATAAAGGTTGATGTCAAAAATGCCCAGTGTTTGTCTATACACCTAATTATGACAGAATTAACAAACAACATAACATAATATATTTGAATGTTTCAAAATCGACCTTTATTCATTTAAACATACTGTATATCTGTGCAGATAAGATGATAGTTGAATCATAAAAAAAAAAGACCCCCAAAATCTGGGGTTGTCCTATAAGACAACCCCAGATTTTGGGGGTTGTCTTATAGGACAGATACAAAAAAATTAGATGAAATTTACATAAATTAAAACAATTATAAAAAAGCAAACAAACTGTAATTATTTACTAGTAGAGAGTAGGGCATGTCCACAAAATAGAATAGCCCATACAATGTTTTTGTGAATAGTCAAGATCACCCGAATGCCTGAATCAGTGCAAATGTTTGCAACAATAGCAAGGCAGTGCTGCCAGATGCAAGAAAATAAAATTTGTTCATTCGAAAAATTACGAATTGGACATAATTCTGTATACGCTATACAGTATTATTATATAGATGATGATTGCTGATCTAAACTAAATTCATAGGCTGTTGATAGTTTGGGGGTTATCTTATAGGACAGATATATGCTAAAACTATAAAACTTTGATGAAAGTTTATACCTCATCTTATCTGTGCAGATATACGACAAATACTAAAATGTTAAAAAGACTACAACAATTAAATAATTTTCTATATTTGTACAAGATTGATTTTTAGTATTAAACAATTTACTGTATTTACTTGAGTCAAAGATGCACCTTAATTTCTACATGCTCATCCACAGATATTCTTTTTTTTGAAAAATAGACAACTCAAGACAAATTTGTTGCAAGCAAAGTAAGTTATGTATCATTGTCTTCCATGGTATTGAAGTCAGAAACCTCTTCATTTTTCATGTTAGAGTCTTCTTAGTAAACATTACTGTTGTTTTAGTCATATTCTTGGGTTTTGGCTTTGGCCAATATATACAATATGTACAATTTTAGTTATACTTTTGTTTTTAGTACTAAAACTACAGTAATCAACACTGAATTCAATGTTCACATCTCACACAAAATCATACTCAGTACCATTTAAAACATCAGAAATGTAACATTTCTTGAAACACCACTGCAAAATTTTTTCTGGAACTTTCACCCAAGTACTTACAATATTACTATAATAGTCTAAAGAGATTAAGCTAAGCTGGTGACTTAAATATTTTCCATTACAAATATTGGTCTAATAAAAATTATTAATATAATGCAATAGAATCCATAACTTATAGCTGCAGAAAAATAAGATATAGAACATCAGAAATCACTAATTAAGATGTATTATATTGAATCTAAGATACAATTTTTCAAGATACTAAAGCATAGAAAAAAAATCCAACAACAAGATACTTAACTTTCCTGGCAACATTTAAAACTGCATGTGATGCTATCTGTTATAATATTTTATTAAAAATCTTTATATATTTTTAATTATGATAAAATGACAAAAGCTTAATTTTGAGGATAGGGACAGGTTTTATAAAAAACTGTAAATGCTAATAACAAGTAAAATTGTCATTAAGTCCAATCCTACTCGAGATACACATGACCCCCTTTATCTCCCCATCCCTTCGACCTCTAACCACTAAAATTTAATAGCATCAATCCCCTAATACATAAACCTTCCTACTATATTTCAGAAACTCTTGACAAAAAGCATGGGAGTTATTAAGCTTCAAAAAGGTTGAACAAAATTTTGCCCCCCACAAATATCAATACATACAGAAAAAATCCCCCAAATTTTTTTTTTTTGCATTTCTTGATGTTTCAGAGTAGAGTCCAAAAATGTAAAAATCTTGAAAAGGTTATTTTTGACCAATTGCTATACTTTCTCTCTGTTATATATAACAGAGCTGGGAAAGTAAAAGTGTGGCTTACATTTGGGTAAATATGGTATATTTTATATTTTATTAAACTGCATAAAAAACACAAAAATATCAAAAATAATTAACTAAATAAATATTAATCAATAAAACGACCTTTTTCCACTAAAAGTGTTCCTGTGTGATTTCTTCTCGACAGCAACCTTATGCTAAGAAAATACATATAAATAAATATTATTGAAAAATAATTACTTGGATGTATTGTTCCAAATGCAATAACTAAATCTTCAACTTTTTTAATCTCTTCTTTTTTTTTCTTTGCATTTGAACCAAACTGTCTTCTTACAGGAATATTTTTAAATAAATTTTGAACAATAACAGTCGTACCTGTATAAAAATTAAAATTCATATTGAAATTATTACTAAATATTTTTAATATTACTATATTAAATAAACATGGAGTTAGAATTTTTTAAATCAAAATTTTATATTTTTTATATCAGGTATCTTGATTTTAACAACAAAGCCGCATAATTTTAAATAATTACATTTTCAATAAAATTAAAAATGAAATTTTCAGAATTTACTAAAAAAAATTAAAACAATAGGGTCTTATTTTATGTGATATTGAGGTACACAGATTCAATTTTTTGTAGATGGTAAACGATTAGGATAACTCATGTCTAATTCCACCAGGTCTGACTCTTAAATTAACAAATCATACTTCTCTGGCTTCTGACATTCCAAACACAGCAAACTATCAAACACTACTAACTGCAACAAACATACCCTGGTTTGCATGTATTTTTCTCAAGTAGTGTACTTGATATGATATAACAAAATTTTCCTCTGTACAGTCGACCTCCCCATAACATAGGAACACGAGTTCCTATAGTTCGGATTCCTATATCACGGCAAAAAAATTGCGACAGTATTCGTACAAACATGCTAAAAAAAAAACTCCTATAATTTGGTAAAATGTCATCGCCGACTCGTGTTGCGACAGGATCGGTCGAATCTAGACCAATAGCAGATATTGCACAAACCGTTGAGTTTAAACGAGCAGCGGACCTACTAAAAACCATTTATTATTTAATGTCCATAAAAATTATATTTATATTAATGATGTTTCCAAAGTTCAGCGAATTTTTCGCAAAAAAAAATAATTTATCAGGAAGCATGCAAACACCATTCGATGATAAGCTCCACGACGAAAACAAGCTTAAGCAATGGCCTGGTCAAACAGTGCACACTTGGTAAGCAATCCTACAATTTTTTGTTTATAGCATAGTTTATATGGATTATTCCCAAAAAATTATACATATTTTGGAAATGTTGAGTCAAATTAGTCTAGAATCGATTAATTTTATGGAAGAAACCTTTCAAACAGCCGTAGTCCGTAAACTGCATACGTGCCGGGCTGTGATTGGCTGGACTCATAGAAAATGGATTCTTAAAAACTGGAACGTATCTACCATGTTATAGGGGGGTCGACTGTATATTCAAAAATAGCAAACTAAAGTGTTATTCACTATAGTAAAACACATTTTAACATTTTTCTGTAAATAGTAAATGTTAATTGTAATTACGAAGTGGCAATTATCTAGAACTATTTTGAAATAGAGCACAAATTTATGCAGAATTTTATTTTTTTTGCCCAGAATCTATACTAATATTATAAAGAAGTAAAGTTTGTAAGTTTGGATGTAGGAGGTAATCTCTGAAACTACTCATCTAATTTCAAAAATTCTTTCACCAATATTTAGAATGGACCTTCAGGGTGGACGTAGGCTGTATATTATTCCGTTAAACATTTATATAAATTAAAAGATATCATCTAGATAAACGTTATATTTTTGGTGTTGGTGGGTTGCAAGGGGCAAGACGCGTACGTATACGAGATAGGTAACAGCACGGTGCAGTCGTGTGATTGACGAAATACGCAGTGCACGTGTCTGAACTTGTGCTGAACATTTATTGTATTTATTGTCGCTTAAAATAATGAATATGTTTTGTCCCGTATGCGTTCCTAAAACATTCATATAAATTAAAATTATTCATTTGTTATTTGTATACACTGATATAGGAACTTCTCATTTTGAGTTTATAAATCTTTAAACAGAAATATAACTAATTCAAAGTAAACTGTATTAAATAAATAAATTTTGAAACTACCATAATAAATTTTACTAGTTTGAATGTTTTGTCTTTATATTTATTAAGTAATCAGTTTCGTTTAAGTATACTGTATAAACTAAAACAACAGTAGTATATTATAATAATTACCTTGTGCATGCGGTGATGGTTTACTAGAAATAATTTTTCCCAAGTTATTAAATTTGTGGCTGATAGAAACATCATCACTTTTTGTTTTTGAAATAACAACAACATCTGAAACACCACAAATAGCCCCAAGAGCTTCTCCCCTGAATCCATATGTTGTTAGGGTTTTCAAATCATCTTCATTTGATAACTTCGACGTATAATGAGGTTGTGCAGCAAGATGAATTTCAGACTGTTTAATTCCAAAGCCATTATCTTTAACTTCTATCTTATCAAAGCCACTGTTTTCCTAGAGTGATGAATAAATGAAAATAAGTTACTAATATATACTGTATATCATTTTAAATTTAATATTAAATTCAACATTCAGTACTATACATTTATATATATAAGTCAATTTTTCAAACAAATTAAATTTTATCTATACACTCAACATATTTATTTGATTTCCATAATATTTTTTATAAATATCAGCTGTTTTTGCCATTCTTTATTACTTCTATTACTATCTTCAAAATACAATATACATTCATAAATAAAAATAATGTATATATATTCATGCCAAAAATTATATAAACATAAATAATACTGTTTTATTGGCATTAATATACTTTAATGATAACAAAAAAATGATAACAATGTTCAAATATACATTCCTTTTCATTTAAATAAATGTTCTTATGGCAGTTTTAATTTATTCCAGATTACCTGAAGAAGGCATCAATGCAATGTCAAAACTACTTGCTAATTTTTATCATCATAAAGTATCTTAATGCCAAAAAACAGTATTAATTATGTTTATACAATACAATTTGTTTGTTGTAATCATAGCTATGATTATCAGTCATGATGTTACCAAAATTAACTTGTTCCAAAATATGTAAGTTAAAATACACTTATAAAAACTTTGCTTAATGTAATTCAGTAATTGTCACTATTATCTTTGAGTAAATAGCATTTTTTAAGCTCTGCTTTTATATTACCAGCTTCAACATATGGCAATAATGTTATCAGTTATTCATTCTCAGTCTTAATCATTACTTTGTATATTAAATGTTAATATTTTAATCATTATTTTCTGACAATACATCAGTTTAAATTTCTGTCATTTCTTACTTCAATTACATGCCAATGATTGTTACATACAGTGGTAAGTAAACAATACTGAATGAATTACAGTTAATAAATCCTTGGCGAGTTATACAACTTTTAATTGTTTTAATTTGTCCTTTTAATGTCAAAATCAATAAAACCAGAATTTTCGTTACTTCTTGTCATAGTTCTTTACTTTGCTTAATATTATCATTGTCATCAATATAAGCAAGTTCCAAAGTAATTGTAATAAGTAGATTCTACTGTATATCCATAAGAAAAAAACAAAATCATTACAATAATGCATTATTGTTAGAACTATTTGATATTTTTGAAGTAGATATTTCAGTGATTAAATTTTACATTGTAGAATTCTTATTAGTAAGAAACTAATGAATTACATTAAATGTTATTAAATTATAATAAAATAAAATAACAAATAGCTAATAAATGCAAACATTATTATTGCTTATTGAAAAAATTTAAAATACGTGCTTTGATAGAATATTTTGATTTAAAATAATAAACTTCATTTTCTTTGTATAATTGACTTATCCAACTTTAATTAAAGAAACACTATAACAAACATTAAATATAGTAATTTAAACTGCTGTATTTAATGTTTAATATTTTTTTGAAGAAAAATAATTGTATATATTATTTGTGTTACTATATTATATTGATATATATTCATTACTGAATTATTAAATGCATTTAAAATCAAATATAAACTTTTAGTATCTTACATATTAGGAAATGTAATAAATCAAGAGATACAACAAATGTATGATGTCTGTCCAAAAAGTTTCTGAACTTTTAAACTAATATGCTAGCATGAAAGCACAGGAATATCCAATGGAAGTTGGATTGTATCACTGACTTTTGAAATGCAGCTAGTACCAGCTACTTCCTGCTGTTTTGTTTAGTCTAAGCTGTGTAGTACTGACACTAGGATTTTCATCTTGGGAGGGTGAAACAGTCTACTTGTACATCAATACCACCTCTTATATCTTATTCATATTGTTACGCTATTCCATTTATGTATTTGACCTCTGACATGTACTTGTCTTGTATATTGTGTTTCAATTCTTGTATATAAAGTCATTCTTATTTGTTATGCGATCTCTAGTATGTAATTAAACTGCTTTGTATATCATGTTATGCTGTTATGTAATCTATTCCTCTGTAACTTTACTGTTGTACACATTTTCAAACCGATTGTGCTTATGCGGTACCAGGCTTGTACCTTTGTATGGCAATAAACAATTTGAATGAACTTGAGTGAGTGAATGGGTGAAACAGTGTTTTGGTGGGATGGATGTTATCTGCACATTTTACCATCAAATAAATTAATTTTCAAAATTTAACAATTAATTTTCAGTAAAATATATAAGCAAAACGTAGTTTAGTGAGGACATGTAATTATTTGGCAAACAGTCAATTAATATTAATAACCAAACATCATTACTACACTCGATACAGGCTAGAAACAGCTATAATACTAATATAGCCTAATTGTCTTTTAAATTATTAGTATTATAGCTGTTTCTAGCCCGATAATATTTGGCTTTGATTGGTGAATTAATATTTAAAGAAACTCTCAATTATGGTTACTATAGGTAGAAAAATAAATTCTTTCAGAGTAAGCAAGGAAATTTTGGGGTGGGATGGTGCCCACCCTGAATCTCTCCACTCTAGTAACATCCATTCTTATCCTTGCTCCACTCAAGTATTGTCCATGGTGCTGTGTGGACAGGGCCATCAAGAGGGAAATAGGAATTTTTTCCCTGGGTCCACAGAAAATTTGGAGACCCATAGCAATTACTACTCCAATAAAATAATGTTATTTTTACTAACAGAAATAAAATCTTTGAGTACATTTTATAATGAAGAAACATTCTATGTTTCTTCATTATATTTCATTTGTTCATAAAAAATGGCAAAAGGGGTCCACTCTACCTCCAAGCCCAATACAACTGCTTGATTGCTATGTATAAGCTACATAGAGAGATGTGATGACTAAAGATTCTCTGCTACTGCAAAATTTCCAATTTCCTTTAGCAATGTGTGCACAAAATTTCATATTAAATTAGAAAGAAAACTTTTGAAAACAGACAGTATGTTAACATGTATGTTTGGTACAGTGGCACTTCACTCTTCAAACTTCACTTTGAGCAATGGTTTAAATTTTAATATGTGCCAATCCCCTCTCCTCCCACCTCTCTGCTGCAAAGGATGAGACTTGCATCCCCAAAAATGCCTTTGCCTTCGACTGAGAAAAAGAATCACCCAACCAATGATGAAAACAATTGTTTTCCTCATGGATTATAAGTCTTTTGCTTGGCACATTTGGGTCTCTTGGTTCCAATTTTTTCATCTACTATTCCAGGCTCCAGCTCAGCCAAAACACTTTGCACCATTGTAATTCCAGCACTAGACTGGTAGTAAATGCATGAACAAAACTCAAATGTAGGCATGACACAAACATTTCAAAAAGAGCCTAATGTTAGTAGATGATGACCTATATTCTTAGAAAACTGTCAACATCAACAGACATCTGGAAAGTTATGAGATGAATGTTTTGAATGAAACTCACAGACCAACATATACTGATATATTGTTATTTCTTCTTCCACGAATCAGTCCCAATGCATGTCATGTTTTCATCACCTCCAGATAGTACGCCATATCAACAACTTTCCAGACGTGTTGTCTGTCTATTGACATCGATCATTTAAGTGGGCCATTTTTGACTGCTGTTTGTCTCTCTTTAAATTGTATGCATCAGTTATAACTTTGAGTTCAGTTCATTCATTCATTACCAATCACTCAAATTATTAAATTTATCTAATTTAAAATAAAACTTTACATGCACCCTCAATGTTAATGAAAATTGGTAATTTTGCAATAACACAAAACTTCTGGAGCCACCACATACCTCTTCACTCTTGACTAAATTAGAAAACAGCAAGAAGCAGCAGCTATGTTAGTTGGCTTACAGTCAGTGGTACGATCCCAAATCTATTGGACAACCTATTAGTAGACTATTTTAAACATTCAGAGACTTCTTAGACAAACTAATACTACAGAAATAAATCAAAATTAGGGGGCATACTTCCATAATGAAAATATGAAATGGTATATATTTTATAATAATTATCTTTTGAAGTTATTTAAAGGAATACAAAATGAAATATTTATTACATTAAAACAATTGATACACATTTTTGACTATTTCATTATAACAAGTTCAATATATTGTAGTTGAACTAGTTTTTACATGTAAAAGTAAAATATAACATAATTTATGTAGACTGAGCAAAGCATTTTATTTTGAGTCATTAAGAATCTTTCTATAATACACTAATGAAAATTATTATTATTTTTGTATTTGATTTTAACTGAAAATAGCATTATTTTGAATTGAAAGCATTTCTTATATTCTGAAATTAGAAATTTACAAATGTCACAGAGATTCCTTGAGTTTTATTACATAACATATAGTTTTATATGCATACTTGCCAACTTTAGAAAGGGGAATAGCTAGGATGTTGGTAGAAAATGCTGATTTTTGAATAAAAATGCTGACAACATAAAAGCAAAAAATTTGTTATTAACATTGATAACACACAATGATTATATTAAATATCTTTAATAAACAAAATTTAATCTTATCTCTTTATATATGATATCTTATAAAGCTATTGCCATAAACACTGTCAAGAGTATGGCAACAGCTTTATACTCTTTATCATCATAATTTAAAAAAGATCAAATATTTCATGGGACATATCATAACTCTACACCTAGATTTGTGCAATGTTTTGCTTTGTTAATAATTTGTTTTGTTACAATGTACTCATGACAGTTGTTATCAGTCTGTTTATTGACCTTCACTGCAATTATTAAGGACAATAATTTCCTATCTCTGTCTTTATCTTAGCATACTGAATATCTTTTCCTTTTGCCACACAGCCCTACAATGCTGTGGGGTAAAACCATCATCAGCTTTACTATTTTATACAGATCTTTGTAAAATGGTAAGGCTGATGACAATTCTTTGAGATTTGTGGGAATTTTACAAAGATTACAAATCTTTGTAAAATCCCACAAGTCTCAAAGAACTATCTACTTTCTTTTCTTCAGAAAGTTCAGACCATACGACCTGCATATTCTTAAGTGATGGATCAGCTGTTTCTTCTTTTTGGACAGAGAAACTGTAGTGCTACTCAATAATTTGGTATACTGTAAAAGTAACTCATTTCCTTCTGCTGATGAGTCAGCCATAATTGATTTAACTAACCATCAGTATATGTTGCCAGACTTGAAGATGCAATTTATCTCATCTGCCATTTAAAATTTTCACATTTCAACTAAAATTCTCACATATATATATAAATGTTGGTTCTTTTCCAATTGAAGGAATCTAAGAATGTCGTTCTGATTTGCCTCAATCATTTGTAACAGAATACATAGTGTCTTTGGCATATATATTGGTGTTACTCTTGTTAAATAGTGTTTTTATGATAATATCAAATTCTTTAAAAACTCCGACAAAAGGGAAAAGCAACCCATCCACTGACAGAGCATACAAAATGCTGATAGTTGGCAACTATATATATACAACCTAACTTCATATATGATAACCTGCTAGGAAAAAAGAGAAAGTCCTTTTTCTCTGGCTTTACAAGTTACACGAGATATAATGCAATTTACACAGTGACACAGATCATACATAAAACAATTTTTTCAACTGATAAAAATTACGGTCAATCTTTACCTACGTGCACCGTCACGGCCGCACGGTGGGGACCGACTTTCTAACCGGTATAAAGTGGGTACCCACCGTGCAGCCATGACGGTGCACACAGGTAAAGATTAACCAAAATTACTTAAGGGTTTAGTTGTAATCTATGATTACAAATAAATACCAAATAGGTTTATAATATAAAAGCTAATCCCCACCAACTTAATGTCTATTCTTGTTGAGTGAGCATCTAACGAATTTTCTATTAATTCCTTAACAACAGATGCAACAGAGGTAATTATTTGACCGCTGCTTAAGAGACGAATCACATTTCGCGGCAACTCGTGCATCTTCCAAACGAACTGATTCGTCATGTATAAACTTTGCGCCACCTGATTTTGAAAATATGAACTACTGTAAAAAAAAAAATGCTATTTTACATAAACACTATCTGGAAGTGGATAAATATATAGAAAATAAATTTAAACAAAACCGGAAAAGATATTGAGAAAAAGTTTACAATAATTCATCCTGTATAGTGATGCCTCGTGCTTCTATATTTAATTTATTCCAGGTGGCCGTTCGAACTCCGAATCGTTCGAAATCCGAAGCAATTTTTCCCATTAGAAATAATGGAAATCGAATTAATCCGTTCCCCCACGCTAAACAATATTCATTTTCGATAAACTTGAAACGGCAAATACACATAATTTAAGGTTAAAAATAACGCAATTAAATAACTAATAATTAATTAAAACACAAAAACCATAAATAAAATACGTAAATAATGTATAATAAAATGAAAATTGTTGTTACTGCTGTTGACTTTGGCATCTTAAACATGGCCGCCAAATCGGCCACACATACCGCTTTCGTGCTTCGCAATAAGTTTGTTTTTCTTCTTAGCCTTTTTCAAGTCTTTCTCTTACTAATTAGACTTCGTTTCTTCCACACATTTCTCGGATACCATGATTAACCTCTTTGAAGAATAATAACTCCCAGTTTTTTCTCGACAATTTCTGAAATTTTGCAGGAAGATTTGTGTATCGGGGGATTGATGCTATTTAGTTTTGGTGTTTAAAGGTCGTGGGGTGGGGAGTTAAAAATCTACCGACTCCGACTCCACAGCCCTGGATAAGAATTTTTATTTTAAACCATTTTGATCGAGTTACATGAAATTATAATTATTATTTATAAATGAATTATTTTTAAATTAGCATTTTGATGAAAGCGTAATATCGTTATTACGCTTTTGTAATAATTATTCTTTCAACTCAATTTTGACATCTGAACAAAATTAATTCCTATTCAATGGCGGGGACGTAACGGTAAAGGCGTTACATTGGCTTTGACACAATCTTAATGTCCCGTTTATTGCCGCCTCGGGTTCTCTTCGTTGGATTTATACTGGAAATATTCTCCGCTGATGATCATTTTGTTGGTTCTTCCCGATTTAACGTCGTCCCAATTTTCGATTTTGCCCGTGACGTAAATCGAATCGTCTTCGGAAAACGAAACACCTGGACGATGGCCACGTTTAGAGGAAGAACGGTATTCCTCCTGTAGGACTTCGGTGACGACCGGAGTGGCGGCGTAACGGACATTTTTCGGTTTCGTTCCGTGGCCGTCGGCTGGCGTTGTCGTCGGTGGACTTTCAGCTTCTTTCGAGATACTTTGTGTTTTCCTTTGATAACAGAAAGTCTGCGTTGTTTCTACCGTAACGCTATCTCGAGAGGGAGGTTGGGAGTGGACCGTCACCGCTTTGCCGGTCTCGTAACGAATCGAAGGAATTTGTTTCTGCTGGTCTCTATACGAAGGTGTTGTTTTTATCGACCCGCTTTGTTCGGATAGCGACTCTAAAGTTTGTTGGCCATTCTCTTCCGTTGGAAAAACGGTTACCACTTGCTGATATTCGTGAGGAGCTACGGTTTTTTGCAATTCTTCCGTTATCGGCTGGGTTTTAAATTTTTCCGGAGATAATTCTTTGTTTACGGCCTCACCCTTTTCGTTTTCGTCGCCTTCTTCTTCCTCCTCCTCCTCCTCATCATCTTCTTCTTCATCCTCTTCCCCCTCCTCTACATCTTCTTCCTCTTCGTCTTCCACCGCATTCTCCGAAGACATCTGGAGTGATGCAGTTTTTGCCGGTTTTTCTTTTTCGGGTGTCGTTTCCGATTCTTTGGCCATTTCTAGCGCTTTATCTTTCTTCCCTCGGGGTCGGCTATCGCTTTCCTCCGACGATTCTTCTTTCTTTAGGATATTTTTAAAAAAACGAAAACAAGGAATAGAAATGGAACTTTCGTTTTCTTCGTCGAGACTAGAATTTTCTTGGCCCACGTCTATCAAATCGTCGAAGACTCGAAATGCTATGGTAAAAAGCATGGCATCCGACTCTTCCCTAGTCGCCTCGGCGGTACTTTTCGTTAACGAATTGTTTGGCGGCGGTTGGACCCTCTCGTCTTTAAATTTATCACCAGACGAGAAAGCCCGACGGTCGTTTCTTGTAGGGGAAATTAAGGCGGGCGGGAAACTATCTCCGCGCCTAGATTTATTATTATCGACTTCTTCTTTAAGTAAGGGAATTCTTTTTTCTCGTTGGAGCGATCGAAGAATCGCTTCTTTTATTGTTTCTTCTAGAGTTTTCCGATAATTCGATTTAATGTATTGTTCGGCGAAGAAAAAACGCGACGGACTACTGATTATTTCTTCCGGGACGTTAGAATTTGCATAACTAACACGGAGCTTCCTTCGTCGTACGCCGTCGTCCTGTGAGTTTGGAGATTCCAACACCCCACTGCAATCCACGTTCTTCTCCACAGAACCTCCTGGAGTATCAGTATTATTTAAACGGCCCGTGCCGGTAGTGGGCTTAATCGTTTTCGAGTTAAGCCATTTTTTACGTGTTGCCGCCTTTAATAAAGAAACGTCGACTTCGTCTTTAAAATCGATGGAAGAAAATTCGAGTTCCTTCTCGCAGCGTTGGATTTTCGAATCGATTTCCGTAGAGTCTGCGGTCTTTTCGTCTGTCTAGAAATTTAATAATAATAATAATAAGACGAACAGAAAAATTATTTATTTATTAACTCTCCGCTCGACAGGCATCGATCGAGAAAGACCCGTAAAACGGCCGGATGATCTAATACAGGTCCCATCCTCCGCGCAAATTTTCGCACCCGGTCGATGCCTTTGCCGTCCTCCGGTAGTCTCATTAATTAAGAAAATAAAAAATCAATTACTTTATTTTGGTTTTTCTTCTCTTCTTCGTCGTCGACAACGTCACAGAAACCTGACAAATCGTGCACGTAGACGGACGTGGTCCCCTCTTCCTACAAAGCTACAATTTTGTAGTTACGGCTTCCTCTAAAGTTAAAGTATAAAACCTAGAAATTTACCTCTTTTTCTAATTTACGACTTCTCCCGGAATTCAAAAAACTCTTGAGAAAACTTTTCATGGAGATTTTCTGAAAAATATAATTCCGATTAATTCGATTCTCAGTCAAAAAGGAGCTAAAAATGGCGCCGGATTACCTTTTTTTACTATCGTTCGAATGGCTTTAATTTTACTTTTGAACACTTCTTCACAGAAATGTATTTATAAAAATGACAAAATTCTTCAAATAATTTTTTTGTTTTGTATAAAAAACAAATGAATCGATATTTTCAAGCGTTTGTCCTCCTAACAAATGGAATAATACAATTAGACTACAACAAATGGATTCCGTTATTATTATAAATCATTCGAATATTTTCCGTGATTCAATTGTTCAAAATTTGACATTTTACTGAAAATTTACCTTAACACTCTACCAGGGCCTTATCGTTAGAGGGGCCGGCGGGCCCTTTAGTTTGATTCGATTCGGTCCCGAAGTTCATAGAGGCCTAGAGGTTATCATTTGAAATATTATTTTCGTGTTTTTAATATACGAGAAACCTCGAAAAATCCATTACTAATATACAATTCACCTTTGTTTTATCAAAGTGGAATTAAAAAAAACTCGCTATTTTGTCGAAAAATGACTGGGGGAATGTTCCATCGAAACAAATTAAAATGCTAGATTGTATGCAAGAACGAAGAATCGGTAACTCTACTAACTCACTTCATCGTAAATGAATTGACCCTACATTTACAAAACAAGGCAGAGATTAGAAATGTCGTAGCATCGTTTTCCTCCCGAAGAGTTAGTAGGAAGAAAGAAAAATGACTTTCGTTGATCTGTTTGTATATTTCTCCCCTAACATTAGATAAAAAAAGAAATAAGACTTGAACAAAAGAATAGAGTGCCAGGTAATGGGATTTTGAGAAAAGAGATTGTGTAATTATTTGAAAAAGGGATAAGAAGTTATTTATTGGTGACAATTAAGAGAATGTCAAGAGAAAAGGATGTATAGTATAAGAAGGAAAACTCATACTGACTCATCACGTGTCGTCAAGATAACAAACCTCTAGAACGAGTGAAAGCTCTGGAATCTTCATCTGTCCCAAGTGACACATTGCCTAATTGTATCCCTGCTTACAACCCTTTTAATGGAAGTATTTGTACTGATGCTACACTTGTTATAAAACTAATACAATTAATCTTCCTGTATAATATATTTCATAAAGATAAATAAGATGGAAGGAGGAGACGATGATCCGTGAGAAGTAGAACTAGAGACAGAAGAGAGAATCGAGGAATACAGAAAGACGGAGAGAGGCGGCGACAACAAACCCGCAAGACACCAAAGAATTAATTTTGAGATACGAAGATAATTCGAAATATAAGTAAGCTAATTACAGGTTGAACCTCTTTAATCCAGCATTTTGTGATCCGGTAACTGTCGCAGTCTGATACATTTTGAATCTGTTGCCACTGATTGATAGATCTGTTATATCAGCTTATTTGATTGAAAGAAAATTAATTAATAAAAAGCCAAAGTTTCAGAAGTAAGCTAAAGAAAGTCGTTAATAACACTTTCAAAAACCCATTCCGACGTAGAAAATCCACTTTGCTGTGTCTCCTCTCTTTCTGATGTACTGTACGTACTGTACAGTACCTGACGAGCACAGAGTCCCAAATGACGCTGCATACATCGAAGACAAGTGCTAATCAATGGCGCGTTATCCTATAAGCAAAAAAGGCAATTGACTAGGGCCCAAACCAATCTTTTATAAGCTCGGGCCCATACAGACAAAAATTAACGTCACTAACACAAACTTAAGTCCGAGGTCGTAACATACTACTGACACACCGGCAAAAACTTTTCTTTTTTAAAACGCAGACAGTGGTAAATAAACTGCTTTATTTTAAAACCAGACGCGACGATGATCTAAGACTGCAAAACATACGCAAAAAAAAAAAAAATTCTGAACAAGACATTTATAGGAACACCAGCTATAACAACATATAAACTGCTAAAACGCCGCAATGTGCTCTGGCAAGACAGTAAAAACAATAAACAACCAAACACACCGAAAATGACATAATTTCGAGTGCGTAAGCGCTGTAACGCAGTCCGGAATGAAGAAAAAATTATAAATACGAACGAAACTATATATACATCGAACGCAACAAAATTTGAAATAAAAGAACGC